GCACTTTTTCTCTTCATTTCTCTAGTAACTTGAGTTCTCTGACATGTGCTTTCCTGGTTTCATTTCTGCTTCTCTCAGTTCTCTGAATTCTCTTTTGCCTGACATGAGATACTAGTGTTGCCACTTTGACCGCTTGCCTTTTCATTTTATGTACCTTATACAATCCCTTCCACTTGTGTAATTTCTGCTGCCATCTGTCTGACTCCTAAACCCAAGGATCCTCCCACCTAGAGCCCCTCTTGATCATCTATTCCAATACCTGCCAGTGTTTCCACTTGGCCATCTTTCAGGCCCTCAGGTAAGCAGGCTGACATATAAATTACCTTATTTTCCCAGTCTTCTTCCTTTTCATGCAGCAGGTAGGATTATTGTTTACTTAGGGACTCAAGCCAGAAACAGAGATCATTCGAAAGCTTCTTTCTTTCATTCTATTGGTGCTGAAGCCCAGCAGTTCTTTCCCTAGATCTCTGTTCTTACTCCTCATCAGTCTGTCCAACCTATCACTATCTTAATGATCCTTCTGAAATCCAAATCTGACCTCACAGTCTGTTACAGTCCTTCCCTTCTAAGGGCTCTGTAGTAAAAGATGACTTAGAGATCCTAGACACACGTAAAATACAAACACTAAGGTATTTTAGCATATGTTCTTAGCACAAGAATTAAGCAGCCTCAAAATAAACACTTGGATCAGTCTTAAATAATTAGAAACTTGCAAATATTAATCTTTGGGAAAAATACAATGTACTGTAATATTAATGTAGAATGAGAATCCCTAGAATATGTGTTTACCTAGAGAAACAGACATTTTGTGACAAAGAAATTATACGGTGGTAACCTACTGCTAAAGCAGTGAATTCAGAAATCAGCCCTGAAAATGTTGCACCTTTGTAATATTTTTCAGCCTTTTCTTTGTCTTTTTTCACCAATCTGTCACTTTCCTCTCTTGGGAAACAATGGGGAAAGAAAGGCACTCCAGTTTATTTCTCTCTCCGTGTTTTATTTTGTTACTTCTTCTTATCTGACAATACGAGGGACAGATTCTCTCTGACATTCATATGGACGTGATTTCTAAGACCAACAATAGAACAATTGGTCAGCAAACAGTTTCCCAGAGCTCCTTAGACATTTTCTGAAATTGCATGCAGCACTCTGCTTTAAAATATGTTGACATTTTCCTGCGGTGTGTTGTTATTACTCTATGACAGTGTCAAGATTGGCTTAGAGATGTCCCTGCTCTGTGTCCAGCGGGTTGCATACAAAAGCATCGCCAATTACCTTTGTTTTAAAACAAGGTTAACACATTTTAAATAAGAGACAACGTGTGATGTCTGAATAAACACAAAATAAATAAGATCATGCAATTCTTCTCAATGTGAACTTTACCTACCTGGGCACAGGACTCTACCAAAAACACAGGTTCAGAAGGGTGATTCTCCTCGTCCATAGCTGCTTACAGTGAAGATGGCAATGGAGACAGAACGTGGTGGCCGGTGAGCTACTGCTCTGCAGGAAGGTGCCCGGTATGCCCCCGGGGTCTCCGTCTGTACAGTATTCTCATTTCATGAAGAACAGGGACCTTGTTAACAGCACTGGCCTTTACTCACTTCCATTGGGGCTCTAAGGATGAGTATATGTCTGGGAAGTACTCGGAGCCCCCAAAATAATGTGTTGTACAAATAAATCTCTTGCACTATACCTATGGTATTTTGAAAAATGCTACTCGCAATTGTTTGATGTATTACATAGATGTTTACTTCTGCTTATAGAAATGATCTAGAATACTAAAAAGAAAATAATTTTACACTGAAATATCAGTGTAGTTTTAAGGAAGAATACTATACAAATAACTTTTTTTAAACTAAATTGATACAAAAGAGCCAGAAGAAAAAAAAATTTCATGAAGATCTTGGGAGCCTTATTGCTTTTGAAAGTCATGCAAAATAGGCAGATCAAACACTGTGGCAATAGTGCTACTAGGGATTGAGGGTGACAACCCTGGCTCCTGGGGTCCCAACTGACCAGGGGAGGGCTACCCCATCCCAGGGTACAAGTCCAGAAGGCGAGCAGGAGAAGCACGTCCTCCAGACGGCTGTGCCAGGAAGGTAAGATTTGGAGGTGCAAGATCCGTCTTCGGGAGGTGCGCAGGGACCTGGAGATTTTGCAGGAAGCAACTAAGGCAGCAGGAGCGGGGCTTGGTATAGTTAGGGAATTCGAATAGCTGGCCGGGTTGGTAATCTCAGTTAGGTTTCTTCTTATAGTGAATAGCCTGAAACCCAAGCAGGGGCCTCCACGTCTAGACCTAGTTCCTCACAGAGGCCCCAGTTCCAGCCATCGCATTGTGAATTCGGGCTTCCACCTCTGAAGTCTAACGGACACAAACATTCAGTCCATAGTGGGCCTTAGACATCACTAGGGCATACAGAAAGCATACATGTGTGTAATTCATGCATAGTGTACATTGTAACTAGGACTTGGAAAAATATGGGCTGCAGGAAAAAAGAAAAGTGAGTTACTGCATGATAGGAAGTAATGTCCACTTTGATCTGAGCCTAAGACTGAGGGTTCTGCACTTGTCTGCACTTCTCTCTAGTTCTATAATCACTCACGTCCAAAACCTAAATACGTACAGGCAGACAACAGAGTCAGTTCTTAAAACAGTCTGTCTCCAACTGAGCGGTCTTACTGGCCAGAGGTTTTTATAAAATCTATTTATTCACTCAGATAGACATGAACTAATAGACACCCTGTTTACTTTCAAAGAGTTATAGTGTATGCGGCTTGTAGGGGACATACACCACTAAATAAAAAACACCTATTCATAACTACATGATTATCAATTTTGTTAGGAGAAAGAATGAAATCATAGTGTTATAAATGAGAAGGACAGTGGGAAGAGAATTTAGATTTCCATAAAGAAAGTTCAAGGGAGAAAGTGCCTTGTAGGACCTAGACAAACTGGATGCTGGCCTGGAGTCCAGCCCTCTTGTGCAGAGCTGAGAGTCCCTAGAAGTACAAAGATAGACAGAGAGAAGAGGGGGCTGGTCCTCTGTGTCCTTGTGGGTTTTTATTAGCTGCCACTCAGATAATGTACACTTTTCATTTTGCCCGAGTTCTGTGTACTTCTTGGTGCATGTGTGTTTTTTACTATATTGGCCTTTCTTTGCATGTAACCTCTCTTTGTATTTATTAAATCATTTATTAACTTCTCTATACCATATTTTTCATGATTACAATTCCTAACAACTGTATGTATCTCTGGAATAATATAAATTGCATACCTGTATATAAATCATTTTGAGTATCATAGTAGCAGTTCATTCATTGTTCCAAATTATTTTAAAGCCTTAGAAGACTCATAGAAGCATTCATATTTTATATAATATCAAAAGTAAAGATTAATTTTAATAACTCAGTTTTTAAGGTAACATATGATTATTATTTTTTCCTGGTAAAACTTCTCATTTGTTCATATGTATCTGCCTTGAAATTTGTACCTTAAGGACAAAGAAAGGTCACCAACCCCTGGAGCTCCTGGTTCTTTGTCAAAAATGGACACAGTTAATGAGGTTTGTTTGGTAGAGAACAAATTCTCAGACACAGATAGAGATCCTTTCAATGGAAACAAATTTGTTTGGCTTTACCAGGTTACTTAGCGATTAATAACAGCCGTGAGATGCAGGTTGGAGAGGTGTTGTACCAGCTCAGCAGCACAATCTAAGCGTGCAGCTAGCCTGGCTCTGTGGATGCAGAAGCCCCCAAAATACTATGCGTAAACTAAAACAGGCTATTTTCTGACTCCTTTTTTCATATTAATAAGCAATTTTCAAGAGAAGGGTGGCAAAATGGGGGCCATGCCACTCCAAGTAATTCATTTATTTTGCAATTTAATCTTGTGTTGAAAAAAAATTGCCCTGCTGCCGTAGCATTGCCCGGTGATTTTTACATGTCAACGTGTCTCATAAGTAACCTTGTGTAAAGTATTGTATTTGGAGCTTTTCTCAGAAAAATACCAATAAAAATATTTCTGGACAGTCAAGTAGAAAGGGGGGTCTTTTTGATTTTTGATATATTTCCCCCTTCTGTCCCCTGACTTATCTGAGAAAAATGCTCAGGTGATTTGTTTAAAATGTTTACTTTAGAACTAGGCACTAAGATTGATATCTGTTTTTAAAAAGGAGTAAGTTATAATTTCAAAGTATCATTTTGAAAATATTAAATTGGTCCTATGGAAGTGAAAGATTTGTTATTTTGCAACTTGGTGATATCATGTTTGGTTTAGCAAATGGTTTCAATGTAGTGTATTTAAAATTGTTTTTATTAGAATTCCTTAGTTACACACACACACACACACACACACACACACACACAAATGATGACAGTTTTCATTATTTTAAATGAAGTTTGTTGTACATTAAAAAAAGCTTGAATTTATTCACATTATCTTTTAGTCTAATTATGTAACTGAACAAAATGTCAGTCTTTTAAATGCAAAATAATACGTCATCTTACTAATATTATTAACTGTTAACTGAAGTACACTTGGAATAAATTGAGCACAGGTATAAAACTCACCACTTTTTGGCTGAGCCTATTATTTTACAGACTCAATAATTAGAAATTTGTAAGAACAAAACCAAACCTTACAGGAAATCAGTAACTCAAATCCTTTCTTGGGATATTGGTTTATCCCAAATAGCTATACCTTCAACCAAAAAGACTGACAACATAGAAAACCATGTACAGTGTTCGGTGTGAACCCTGCCTTGGCGGTTGGATAAGTTATAACACATAGGTACTTGGTTTTTAAAACTTAACACTGGCAAATCATTTAAATGCTTCCTACGGTTTGCAAAGCTTCATGCAGAGGAGGCAGCCAGCCAGGTGACACTGCCAATTTTGATGGATGTGGGCGCTGGCTGCTCCTCAGAGAAAACTTCATTGAAAAGAACAAAAACATTAACAGAGATTATCATAAATGACTGCACATAATTTCTGTGCAGGGAGGTACTGCAGGAGTTTGCAGAGATTCAAGAAAGCGAAGAGAAGAAAGCTGAGCTGGAAAGGAAAGAACAGAAAAGAGAAATGGAAGCCCGGAAGATGCATTACCTCCTCAGCACGAAGCAGGTTGGTCCACCTGTCCCTGACAGCTCCCGCAAGCCACGCGGGTCCTCGCCTGACAGAGACAAAGTAGCAGGCTGGATGGGACCTGACCTGTTGAAAAGATACCACAAAGACACCACCTCGAGTTCAATTTCAGGCGTCAGTGTGGTACTCGTAGAGTACCATGGCCCCTCTGTGACGGCGTCTCAGGCAGGCAGCCACTGCCACGCTGGGGAGATGTCCCACCTAGCTGCAGTGTGACCTGCCAGGGTGCTGGCACAGCACCAGGGCATTGCCGGGTCCCCAGCTCATTCCTGGGGGCTTATTGTTGTGAACTGATCAGGAGCTAACAGGATAGTAGGTGGACTTGGCTCCCAGGGTTTTCTCTTCTAATGGAGAGGGTGCTAAGGTGAAAGCTTCACCCCCTTTCCTAAGCTTCCCCAAGACAGAATGCTGTTCTTATAGGCATCCAAATGCAAAGCCTGTTGACAACTGGGCTGGTCATACATGTTCAGGACAGAGATGTCTACCCCTGCCCTAGCTTGACAACGATTCCTATCTTTATATTTACCTGGATCTGTGTAGCTGAGTTACCGCCTCCTAACAGCTCACAAGACAAACTTTGAGCTGCGTGCCACTGATTTACAAATACAAAGTTGTAGTAATATGTACCCAGTCCAAGATATTTTTACTTGAAATAGGCAATAAAGGTAGTATTGTAAAATTTTATTATATCATCTGCCAAAGTGTCAAAATTTTAATTGTATAATTGTGGCCTCTTTTTTTAATGTAGAAGGCAAAACCAAGAATTCCTTCTACCAAAATATATTTTTCAACATTACTACTGGCAATTTCAGTATGATTAAACTAATTTAAACTAGAGAACTATTCACATTTTTAATATTTTAAACTATTTATTCCTTCAGAAATAGTTATTAGTTTTGACTACTCCAAAACCTCTTTAGACTTTGAATCTTGTTTAATTGCATTGTATTGTGTATACTTTTGATGAGTAGTATGCTAGAGAAAGTAATAAAGAAAGAAAAATGCTGAAATCAGATTTAACTGAAATACTTTGTCCTATTAAACCCAACACTACTGAGATATTGTGTCGGGAACGAATTAGAAAGTATTTAAGGACTGGGGGTAGCCCCATGGCAGCGTGATTGGCCAGTATGTGTGTGGTGCTGAATTTGATCCCTAACACTATAAATAATATTTTTTTAAAAAGAGAGCATTCAATTGTTTAACTAATAAAAACAAAATACCACCAAATATCCGTGGAGTGCTTACCATGTGCCAGAGGTTATGATTAAAATTTCAGGTGCATTTGTTAACAATTCTGATTTCATTTCACTTTTAAAATTAAGCACATGGTTTGGCAAATAATTTTACAAGTCTGACCAGGAGAGAGTCATGTAGTTCAATGAACTTTCAAATAATACTGCCATTGCGTATTAGGGATGCTTGTGTTAGCAAAAACAAGATGCGTTTCTTTGCATTTCCTGCTGGTGTGTGCCATGCAGGCTGTGGTAACCTGTGGGCATCGTCATCAAGCAGAGTTGCCCTGGACCCCAGCTGTGCGCCCACAGTCAGGCATTCGGGTGCTTTTGAGTTTTCTGACCCTGTGCTTCACTCTACACATGTGGACACTGAAACACATCTTGAAATAGTAGTGTAATATATTTAAAATAGCATTGGGCCCTCAGAGGGCATTTAGTTAAAAAAAGAAAAAGCAATCTTGCTTTAGCAATTAACCTATCATGGATAAGCTAAACTTCTGTGCTTTTTCTTCCATTTGGTCCAATTACAAGCATTCCTTTCGTTACAAGTGAAAATCTGTTTGGAGATTTAGCAGTAGGGTCTCCAAGTTGGGGAGCAGCCCCTTGATAGCCCCCTCCATTGATCACGTGGCTCCCCAGACCTCAGAACAGGGCAGGTGGAATCGTGCTCAATCCATCTTCCTCTGAGCAGAATGTTATAAAAATATCCCAGACTTTCATCTGGCCCTGGCAAGGCGTTACGATGGTCTTGCTGTCTGCCCCTTCGGTAACTGCAGAGGGGAAGGGAAGACACTGCCAACTTATGGAGATGCAAACGTTTTTATTTTTGTCGGTGACAAAATACTGGTATCATCTGGGTTTTTTGGTTCAGGGGGTTGCTTGTACTGACTTGACAATCAATAATGCTGGAAAATTTATGTTTTACGCCTTATATCTCACAAGATTTGCTTTATTTAGCTTTAAATGAGTATTTTTCATCGTGATATAAAAGTGGTTGAATTTTAAAACTATTCTAAGTCACAATCGTGAACCACATCTTCTGGACAACAGTATGCAACTCTAAAATTTTATAGACTGAACATAAACTTTATCAGTCAAATTACTCCAGATAACCTGTTTTTGAGTACCTGTAGTCTGCTGGTGTGTGCTAAGACTTTAGTGTATGTAAATATGTTCCACACAATTTTGTTGGTGCAATTTATTATTTTGTCCTATTCTAATAAAAACTTTACCGACTTTTGCTAAAGTAAGGGAGATTTAAAGTGAAAGACATGTACTTTAGACCGTATTGTTATTTAAGTTCTCAGCATGATTTGGCTATTGAGTAGGAATAAACTGTTGATTAAAAAATATTCCTTAGCCAGTAGTTTAGATGAACTTCTTTGCTTGTTTCAAGAGTTTTGATTTCAAATTATGTGTATTAAATGCACATTAAATATAAAATTTAGGAAACAAATATTTAAGTATAGATAATTTTTATAAGAAGTGTATCAGAATAGAAAAAAGTATGCCAGCCCCTCTAGCATTTTTAGCAAAAAGACTATTTTTATTGGAATTGTCAGTAATTTAGCAATGGTATTGTTAGCATGGTTTGTAAAATATTAATTTCTCTACTTAATTTTAATAATTCTCATATACCTTAACTTACATGAGTAAAACTAAAACATTAACTCAACCTAATAATATCTTTAAAAGGTGAAGAGTTCTGTAAGCTAAGATTGTGTTCGTGAATCAAACACAGATAATGAATGAAATATTCGACTAATAATTTCAGAATGACTATGCTGGTATACTGATATATATTGATCACAAAGTTTCAAAGTCATCCTTAGGTCTATTTTCAGCAAAAATGCAATAAATATCTTAAAGTACTTCTAAAAAGTATTGTTCATTTTTATAAGTATTAATTATCTCATCTTTATTCAAGCAAATATGTTTGTGCTAATAGGAATTACACAAGTAAATAACCAATATTGCAATGAGTGAATTAATAGACCCCTTAGGGTTTTATTAATTAAAAAGTTCAAGTCATATTAAAGTACCTTTTGTGTATGTTTATTTCAATCAGAAAGCTGAACATGGTAACTTATTTGCATAAATAATCAATCACCATTTACTAGTAGTAATAAGGTTAATTTGTTGCTACAGACATAATAGGATTACTCAATTATATTTCCCAGAAAATACTATTTGTTATGCACCTCATCACCTATATAACAGGATTGAGTTTAGTGCCCTTATTAAATGAACACATCAAAAAAATCTTTGTCCCTGTAAAACTTTTTTGAAAGGAAAGCTAATTTTAGTTGATTTGAATAAAGTAAAATGCAAGCATAGCCTCCATTTGTAAATTTAATTTATCTTCCTGCAAAGATTGATTATTTAATAAAGTTATTTATTTTGATTCAGTGACCAGTCAAGCTAAATCTACCACACATAGGACATATTTCCTTTGAAGAAAATCTCATTTGCAGATTTGTTTTATTCCAAATAAACTGACTTTCACTCCCTTGCCCTTGTTCTCGGGTAATAAATTACGTTGTCTGCTCCACCTGCTGGTGGATGCATGTAAAGACCTGTAGTTGGATTCGTTCAGAGTTCCGGGCTTTAGTGTTACCACCATTGCCAGGGCTCATCCTGAGGGTCAGCGTTACTGAGACAAATGCAAAACTCCTGGCCCAATTACAAAAGCTAATATTTTGAGATAACCGTTATTAGACAGAATTTATATGTGATTAGTAAAAATGTTAATCTATTTTCATGTTAATATAATGAAAAAGGATAAATATGCAGTGTACAAATCACTTGCTGTGAAAATATTTTATTTTAGCTATCTAGTTTTATGATTTGTGTATATTCACATCAAAAGTCATATAGAAAAGTTTTAACTTAATTAAAAATTTTGTACACTTATTATGGAAATAATTTTCATGTCATCCTTACATCATAGGTTTTGATGTTTTTCTTTTGCATGTGATGACAATTTTCATATAGATATAGAAATAACTCTTCAGTTACTTGAGATTTATGCAAAAGACCTCTGTGGTTAATATAATTAAAACAGTTTTTGAAATAATTCTTGGGAGAAGCAAAATGCATTCTGTCATTTTTTAAAAATTCATATCAGATTGGATTTGTATAAAGAACTATATCTTAATTAAAAATGAAACTTGATGTGTTCATAATAAATTGGTAGTCTATTAATGCAAAAAGCATGTTTGTAAAGTAAATCTTACATAAAAATACTAAGAAATTTTTAATTCATCCAAATCCTTTGTTGGTTCGATTCTGGCTTCCTGGGGTTCTAAGTGGAGCAAGGCTCTGCTTGAGGGTGTGAAGCACTCAATCCGTGAATGTCCGCTTTCACTTTGGCCTCTGTCTCTGTCTTATCTGTCTGTCTCTCCCTGTTTCTCTGTCTCTGTGTCTCTGTCTGTCTGTTGCTCTTTTCCAAGGTAACATGCAAGGGGATGTATATGCTTGGCTTCTTTTGTCTGTCCGTACCACCTTTCATCTCTGCTGTCCTGAATGTCGCCTTGGTTCTCTTCATGCATGGGCATTCACATAGCTTTTGCTTCAGCTGTCTGGCTCTTTTAGTGTGTTTTCTTCTTTTCAAAGTCAGTCTTTATTTCCAAAGATAACTATCCTGTTATCCAACTTCCAAGGGACATATACTTTCTTCAGTCTTCTCCAACTTCTTTCAATTAGTCATTCCAGTTCCTGCCTATCAATTCCTTCATTTCT